AAACCAGAAGAAGGCGCTGGGTCTCCTGGAACTAGAGTTACAGATGTTTGTGAGCCACCAAGTAGGTGCTGGGAATAGAACCCAGGTCCTGTAGAAGAGCAGACAATGCTCTTAACCATCGAGCCATCTTCCCAGTCCTACGAATTGCATCTTTCGGTCATGCTTTATTCAAAGTGGAGATCTGAGAAGACAGCCGTTAACAGCTGTAAAAGGTGGCTGAGAGATGGCTCGGAAAGGGGAAATATGTACTGCATAAACACCCAAGGGTGTGGGGAACAGCTCCCTCAAAGCACCACAAAGGGTGAGCTGGGTCACACACCCTCTGCCAGCAGTGGTGTCCCTGCCCTCTCTAGCGCTGTCTTCTCAGTTTGCATGGTCACAAGGCTGATCTGACCTTAGAGATCTGACAGAGCCACCTGCGCTTGGTTTGAAATTTAAGGATTTTTTCCCCCTTGTATTGCACATTTTTCTGTGGGTGTTTGCACTGCACCTTTCTCTTATCATTTTGTAAGACCTTCTAATAAAGAATTGCAGACTTCCTGAATAGAGAAACGGGACCCCGAGGCACTTTTCCAGGACACAGTGCTAAGGTAGAGTGACTGCTATCATGGGAACAGGACCTTTTTAGTTTTGTTTTTTTTTGGTTTTTTGTTTTTTTTTTTTTTCCAGACGGGCTTTCTCTGTGGCTTTGGAGCCTGTCCTGGAACTCACTCTGTAGAGCAGGCCATCCTCAAACTCACAGAGATCTGCCTGCCTCTGCCTCCCAAGTGCTGGGATTAAAGGCGTGTGCCGCCAACACCCAGCTCCTTTTTCATATTCTTAGCTTCTTTGTCTGTGTCACGGTGACTTACATTCTGACTGGGGGCTTTAATATATTAATGAAGCTGGGGAAAGGAAGGCTGACATCCGAGGGGAAGGAACTAGGTGGCAAGAGATGTAACAAAGTTGCACAAACACCGAAGCTGCACGTAACTGAAGGACACAGAAACGCAGGGCTGACTCCTTGGCTCTGGGGCTCCTCCCACAAACGCTGTCTCACAGAAACTGGAAGTAGCTTCTATTGGTCTCGAGTTCTGCTGCTAAGAATTCAAATCCTGCTCCATTCTCTACAAGTACATGACCCCACTTGGGTTCCTCTCTGTTTCTCATAGTCCCTATCTGTAAAATGAAGGCAAAGGCAGAACCTACTCCATAGAGGGTTTTTGTTTTGCTTTGTTTTGTGCGATGGAAGAGTTAGTTTATATAGCCCACGTAGGAGGAGGGGGAGACAGACACCAGTGATAGCCATCTAATCAACTAACATGAGGGCAGGAAGCAACAAACCCCTCTCAACAAAGATTCTTTTTTTATTTTATTTCAAGATAGGGCTTCTCTGTGTAGCTATGGAGCCTGACCTGCAACTCGCTCTGTGGACCAGGCTGGCCTTAAACTCACAGAAGTCCACCTGCCTCTGCCTCCTGAGTGCTGGGACTAAAGGTGTGCACCACCACTGCCTGACTCAATAAAGATTTTTAAATTCGAATGACCTCAACTCTCCCGAAAGGATGCATGCTAAGTGGCTGAAGTGAAAAGCAAGATCCAGTTACCTGATGTCTCCAAGAAACTCACCTAGCTAGCAAATACTGAGCGTGGAGCTGGTGAGAGGCTCAGTGAGTCACAGGTGCTGGCTGACAGACCTGACAATTTGAGTTTTGATCCCGAGACCCAGATGGTAGGAGGTGGTGACTCTCACAGATAGCCTTCTGACCTCCACAGAGGCACCGTTCCAGTGCACACACACAGAGACACACAGACCGATAGACACACACAGACAGACAGGCACACAGACACAGACACACACAGACAGGTACACAGACAGACAGATACATACAGACGCATAGAATTAATATATGCATTAATATAATGGAAAAGATTTAAAAAAAGAGTCAAAAAGTAGAACTCAATCTAGCATGTGAGGAAGGTCATAAAACTTGTTGACACAATTATTTTGTATTTATTTATTTTTTTGAGATAGGGTTTCTCTGTGTAGCCATGGCTATCCTGGAACTAGCTCTGTAGACCAGGCTGGCCTCGAACTCAGAGATCTGCTTGCCTCTGCTTCCCAGGTGCTGGGATTAAAGATGTGTGCCACAACTGTGTCTAGCTTGGCACAGTAATTCTTGTATTTCATAAGGCAAACTTCAGACCAAAGCTAGTCAGAGGAGATGAAAAGGGACACTATATACTAATAGCAGGAACAATTCATGGAGAAGCTGTAACAATTGTAAATTTGTGTAAAGGCAAACATCAACAGGCATAAGAAGTCACAGATGTTTGACACAGTAGTGGGAGACTTCAATACTCCAGTGTCATTTTTAGAGAAGTCTTCCAAACAAAAACTCACCCAGGAAACATCACTCCACTCAACCAGATTTAACCTATATCAGCCAAATATTCCAGCCAACAGGTAGGGAGTACACATTGCTCTCAGCAGCACGTGGGACTTGCTCTAAAATTGCCTGCTACACAGCAGGCCTCAACAAATGCAAATTTTTCAAAGGATTCTTTGGATCAGACCACAGTGGCGTTTGATTAGAAAACACAAGCATGCCAGGCAGTGATGGCACACACCGTTAATCCCAGCACCCAGGAGGCAGAGGCAGGTGGATCTCTGAGTTCGAGACCAGCCTGATCTACAAGAGCTAGTTCCAGGACAGCCTCCAAGCCACAGAGAAGAAACCCTGTCTCAAAAACAAAAACAAACACACACACACACACACACACACACACACACACACACACACACACACAAAGAGAGAAAGAAAAGAAAGGAAAAGAAACTTCAGAAACTACATACACACGAGGAGACAGCAGAGACTGCACAAGCACAACACAGGGAGTCATTGAGGAAATCAGGGAGGAGATTAAGAAATGCCTGAGGTCAGATGACAGCTAGAGCACAATCCACTTAGAGCTCTGGGCTACAGGCCAGGCAGACCTACAAGGAAGGGTTAGAGCTAAAAGTGGTGTGTGCCACCACTGCCCAGCTTAAATCTTCTTACTTTTGCAACAAGTACTCTTTCCTCTTGAGCCATCTTCCTAGCCCTCTTCTAAACTCATACGGAAGACTCCAACACCTCTCAAGTTGATCCACAAACTAGTATGGGAAGGAGCTCTACCAAACATTCCAGATAAAGACACAAGAGAAAGGAAAACACCTATATGCCAATTTCCTTGATGAACATAGATGCAGCATTTCTCAACAAAGTACCTGCAAACAGAATTCAGGAACACACTGAGAAATCCAGCCATCGTGGTGTATAAGCGTGTAAGTTCCATTCCAATGCCTGTGAGGCAGAGGTGGGCGAGTCATCCACGTACTCTAGTAGCAAGTCGGGGGCCAGCTTGAGCTCAGTGAGACCCTCCTTCAAAACCATAACAAATAAAGAGTAGAAAAAGACAAGGTTAAGATAATGGAAGATTGTGGCCAAGGCCAGGAGGACAGGGATCACTTAGCCAGTGCCATGCTCATGTTGGAAGCATAAGGTCCTGAGCTGTATTGTCATGAGGCAGAGTAGAAAGACAGGGAAAGCCTTGGAGAAACGAGACAGGAGAGGAGCCACTCACTAGAAAGTCTGGCTGCAGGCCTTCCCCAGCTACAAACCTAAAATGTTCTAGGAATCACACCAGAAATTCTGTTTCTAGGGAAAGGATGTGTGCTCCTTGTGAAATCCTTATAATTTCACCCTTAGAATTTCACTGACCAAAGGAAAGAGATACAAATTAAAAAAAAATGTTTCTTAGCAACCTTTTGAGATCTAACTCAAGAGCTAGTAACATGCCAAGACTGTGGCTATTGCTGCTACTACTCTCTGCCACTCCCCTTTGAGGAACCGGTAGGATGCTTGGGTATGCCACACTCCTCCATGTTCCCTTGGGAAGCACACAACCACGCTTGGGCATGCCCTTCTTTTTGAGCGCTCTGGTTCTCCATAACTCTCTTGCTTGAGCCTTTCTTGATATCTTTGATAAAGCTTCCCCCCAAAACAGACCTGGCTTGAAATTATTTTCTGTGTCAAAGCCACAATTCCTAGTTTGGCCTTATTCAAGGTCCCTAAAAGATTAGGGGCAGGGGCTGGAGAAGTGGCTGAGCAGTTCAGATCATTTGCTGCTCTTTCTGGAACCTCTGGATCCAAAACAGGCAGCTGGTAACTACCTATAACTCCAGTTCCAGGAGATCCAGTACCTCTCTGGCCTCTGTAGGCACCTCCACTCACATGGCACATACACTCACAGACATACACATACAGGTAACCAAAAATAAAGAAATAAATCTTTTATTACAGGAACTCCTCCTGCTCCTGAGGATGGTGGTATGAAAGCCGTGTCTGTCTCTTCACTGACACTATCCAGACCTATATCAAAACACCAGGCATAGTGGCCCGTTTGTGTAATCCCAGCACTGGGGAGGCAGAGGCAAGAAGATCTCTGGGCCTTGGTAGTCAGCCAGTCCACCCTCATTGACGAGGCCCAGGTCAATGAGATCCTGTTCCTGTTTCAAAGTAGTAAACAGCTTCCTGATGACATCCGAGGCTGTCCACACACACACACACACACACACACACACACACACACACACACACGCACGCACGCACGCACAAATGCACATGAGTGGCAGGAGGATGAAGAACAGGATAAACAAAAACAAACTATATTTTGAAATGCCCCAATAAAGCCCAATACTTCTGTACACGAACAACAACAGAAGGCTTTTTATAAGCTTTTAAAGGGCATAGGAGTAAAACTAAAACACAGAGCAGAAAAGAAAGTTGGATAGGTCATGGTTGGTTTCCTCAGTGCACTATTACATGCTGTCTTGCTGATTGGAAATGCCATGGTGACATCGTTTAGCGGGGTCTAGCATTCCTGTCCTGTGGTGACTGCAGTGTCAAAAGTTCTCATGTCCCTGCTTTTCTGACTTTGCATGCGTCTCCCAACGGCCCTGTGCTCTATGCCCTCAGAATAAACGGCTGGAGGAAGTAAAAAGAGAAGAGAGGGAGCTGCTGGAGGCTCAGTCCATCCCCCTGAGAAACTACCTGATGACTTACGTGATGCCCACGCTGATGCAGGGGCTCAATGAGTGTTGCAAGGTGAGACCCGAGGACCCCGTGGATTTCCTGGTAAGATTTCTTTGAAAAAATTGTTTTAGAGATGCATCTATTTCATGTGTGCGGTTGTTCTGTCTGCATGTTATCCATGTACACTACATGTGTGCATCACCCACAAAGGCTAGAAGAGGGCATCCCCTCCCTGCAACTGGAGTTATAGGAGGGTATGAGCACATGTGTGGGCACTAGGAACCAACCCCAGCTCCTCCGCAAGAGCAGCCAGTGCTCCTAACGGCTCAGCCATCTCTCCAGCCTCAAGATTGAAAAATTTACAATATGAAATTGAAGTGTGGCTGAAGTTTAAGAAAAAACCTGCTGAGTTTGAGAAAATGCACATCTCATGGCTTAGGGAATCCCTTCAAATATATATGCTTATGGTTTTCAGTAAGATTTCTTCTTTCTCCTCCTTTGAGTATTCTTTTGTAAAAAACTAAATGTTTTTTTTTTTTTAATATAGTTTGAGAACTTCATATACCCATTCAATGTATTCTGGTCCTGCTTTCTCCTGGCAGCCTGCCTTCCAGATCCCACGTTCTCCCACTTCCCTTCCAACTTCATGTCCTTTTTTGTTTAATAACCCACTTAGTCTGATTAGTGCTTCCCTAGGGACATGGACAACCCCCACCATGGACTCTGTCCCCAAAGAAAACTGACCTCCCCCCAACAGCAGTCACCAGCCTGCTAATAGCTTTTCAGCCAGGAGTGAGGGCTCATGTGCCATTCCCCATGTGTGCTCTCTTGCCTAATGTTATATACGCTCTTCATTCTTTTATTTGGAAGGAAAGAATTTATGTACCCTTAAACTTGTGAACACTGACAACACAAATATACGGCAATTGTAAATTGTCAACTTTTGGCCAGGAAGATGACTTATTAAGTAGAGGACTTACTACTCAAAGTGTGAGGACTTGAGCTCAAATACCCAGAAACTATATGAAGCTTGAAGCTATAGCATATGTTTGCAATCCTAATACTTCTATAGTCAGATGGGAGGCAAGGATAGAGTCCCAGAAGCTCACAGGCCAGCTAGCTTGATGTACACAAGAGCCCACAGAGGGCCTGTCTCAGGCAAGGTGTGGAAGATGACTGATACCTGAGGTTTTCTTCTGATTGCCACATGCACACCACAATACAAGTGTGCCCTGTCATGCATGCAACATCCCCCACCACATACAAAGACTTAAAGCATTAAAAATAAGTTTATTTTTCTCTCTATTGTAGGCAGAATATCTATTCAAGAACAATCCTGAAATGCAGTAAAGATTCATCAATGTTGGGTCATGGAGCTTCAGAGGGAGAGCTCAAGTTAAACTTGCAATCTGAAAAACTGCTTTTGAAAATGCTTTTCCAGGGATTTTTTTGGGGTTAGGGGGAATCTTAATAAAGTAGAATCATTACAAAGCTATATTAGAATGAATAATCACTGCTTCATCGAAACACTATTTGAAAATTAAACAGATAAGTCATACACATGTAGCCCAGAGATTGTTTTAAAATGTTATTATTATCATTATTATTACTATTCTTATTATTATTTTTTGATTCAGGGTTTCTCTGTGTAGCAGACCTGGGTGTCCTGGATCTCAATTTGTAGACCTGGCTGGCTTCAAACTCACTGAGATCCACTTGCTTCTGCCTACCAAGTGCTGGGATTAGAGCTGTGCACCACCACTGCCCAGCAAGCAATTTCTTTTATTGGTTAAGCAGGTTAGTTTTAATGCACATAAGTGTGTAAGAGAGATATCTCTTTAAATATTTAAATAACTTGTCAGGCAACAGTAGTGAATGAATACCTTTGATTCTAGCACTCAAGAGGCAGAGGCAGGTGGATCTCTGTGATTGCAATAGCAAAAGAAGGTCCCACCCCAGAAAGCAGGAACCAAGAACCATTGCTAAAATCCTAGGGGTAGCTTCTGGTCTTGCTCACATGGTAGAGTGCTTGCCTATCATGCATAAAAACCCTGGTGACGCATGCCTTTATTCCCAGCACTTGGGAAGCACAGGAAGGAGGATCTCTATGAGTTCGAAGCCAACCTGGTCTACAAAGTGAGCTCCAGGACAGCCAGGGCTATTACTCAGAGAAACCTTGCCTCAAAAACACACAAAAAACAAAACAAAACAAAAAAACAAAAAACAAAACAAAAAAACAAAAAACAAAACAAAACAAAAAAAACAAAAAAAAACCCAAACCAACCAATTTAACCAATGAACCTGAGTTCCAGCTCTATGGCAGCATCTAGGGATGTAGGATTGGGTTAACTTTCTATCAGGGACACCAGGGACACTGGGGAACCTTCTTGGGGTTCGTGATCTCATTGGTAAGAGAATTTAACAAGAGGCTCAAATGGAAGCTCAAGGGTAGAGTTTAAAAAGAAAAGCTCCAAGTAAGGCAAACTGTCACTCTCACAGCCGCCAGGAGAAGGGGTAGGGGGTGGGGAGCTATGCCATCGGAGATGAGCCTGCATGGAGGTCAGCCCATTGGAGGCAGACAGACATATGGTGGGGAGGGCACTTTAGAAAGAGTAAGGAAACCCTAAGTACCAAGGTTGTCAAAAGAAAGAAGGAAAAGGAATAGTTGGACATTTCAATGACAACTTAGCACACCCCACCCAACCTCAAGTGCTCATAAGGAATGTGCCAGGGGGGGTGAAGGTTTTTTTTTTTTTTTTTTTTTTTTTTTTTTTGTTTCCAAGATAGGGTTTCTCTGTATTGCTTTGGAGTCTATCCTGGAACTCCTTATGTAGACCAGGCTGGCCTTGAACTCACAGAGATCCTCCTGCCTCTGCCTTCCAAGTGCTGGGATTAAAGGTGCGCATCACCAATACCTGGCCTGGAGGTGGAGATTTTTAAGAAGTAAAAGTACAGTTATTTTAAGATGTACCCAATTTACTAGGGATGGTTCTTTCTACCTGAGGGTGGTCCCATAATCAGGACCTTAACCTGCCCAAGTGGACTAGCTCTTTGTTTTTGTTTTGTTTTTTGAGATAGTTTCTCTGTGTAGTCCTGGCTGTACTTGCAGTCACCTTTTAGACCAGGCTGGCCTTGAACTCACAGAGATTTGCCTCTGCCTCCCAAGTGCTGGGATTAAAGGCGGGTGCCACCACTGATAATTCTTAAACTGGGAGACAAGGACATATTCACACCTAAAAGTATATGCCAATCTATCACATAAAATTAGTGGTGTTGCCGGATGGATTTCTGTGAGTTCGAGGCCAGCCTGGTCTACAGAGCGAGTTCCAGGACAGGCTCCAAAGCTATACAGAGAAACCTGTGTTGAAATAAACAAACAAACAAACAATACGGTGTTGTTGCACATTTGTAATCCCACCTCCTGAGTAGCAGGTGGAAGCCCGAGAATCAGAGTCAGCCAATTACATGGGGTCCTGTCTTACAAAGAAACATGTTAAAAAGGCAAAATGTTAAGCGGTGGTGGCGCGCGCCTTTAGTTCAAACACTCCGGAGGCAGAGGCAGGAGGATCTCTGTGAGTTCGAGGTCTGTGAGTTTCTCTGTCTCAAAAAACAAAAACAAAACACCCCCCCCCAACAAAACAAAACAAACCAAACCAGCATACCCACCAAAATCCTAATGGTTACTGACAACTTTAATTATTGCCATAGTCTAGAATCCCTAGCCCTGTGTATTTGTTCACTTGGCATCAGAAACACATCTCTGGGCAACAGACACAGAAGGCCGTCGTCAGGGGACCTTATGGGTCAGGCTCTGTGCTGGGCACTATGGCATTTAAGTCTCGCAACGCTGTGCAGTAGGCAGTGCTCCCTAACTAACAGCCCAGGGTCCCGGGCATTCTCCGCGCCTAGGCGGCACCGCACGTGGCTTCCGCCTGGGCCGCGCCCCCTTCTCACTGCTGTCCCGATCGCCTCACCCCCACCCGCCACGACAGCAGCGTCGCGGCGCTAAGGAACATCCGCCACGACAGTAGCGTTGCCCGTCGCTCGCAGCCTCCCGCACCAGTCCCACGCACCACCACGACAGCGGGAGATCACCGGGAGACCGCGCTGGGCCCCCCCTCAGGAACTACATTTCCCGTGAGGCCGTGCAGCTCGGGGCGGCGAGTACGCAGGCGCGCGCTCCTTGTGCGTGGCGGCGTCAGCGGTTCTAGAACGTTGCTGTGGTAGCGCTCGGGCGCCATGTTAGGACGAAGGGGAAGGAGGAGAAGCGCTTAAAGCGGCGGGGCGCGGGTGCGGGACTGGGTTGGCCCTGGGGCTGAGGCAGGCCCCCGTCCCTCCCGCCTCGGTGGATCATGCCCAGGGCGGCAGCGGCGGCGGCGGTCGCGGGGGGGAAGTGACTGGGCGGTGCCGGCGCCGGAGACGATGCCGTTGTAAGTGATTGGCGTGCTGAGTGAGGCGCACGCCGGCCGGGCCCCGGGGGCGGCGGAGGGGGAGGGGAGGCGCACGGGCGGCCGGGCCGCGGGTTCCCCCCGCAAGGCTCAGGAGCAGGACGGCGCCCTGGCGCCCTGGCGGGCGGGCGGGCGGGCGGGCGGTCCGTCCCAGTCTCCCCGGCCCCTTCCTGTCCGGTTTCCACCATGGCGCCGTCCTGCCCCCCGAGTCCCACACTTCCGCTTCCCTCCTTGGAGCTGGCGGGGGACGGGGACCGGGGTGCAGGCCGCGCAGGCGGGCCGGGGACTGCTCCCGAAGGCCGGGCTGCGGGCGGCGCCTCCCTGCTTTGTTGTGACCCGGCCACCCAGCCCGGGCGCACTTCCTGACGCCTGCAGCCCTCCGGCCACTCGGGGTGTGAGTCCGAGTGCAGGCTTTGAGCTAATTCCCTTAGGCCTTCTTATCCCACTCGGTCTACTTTACACACTTCACCTTGATTCTTTATGCCTTAATTTTCTTCCTCTCCCCCTTTTCTCGTAAGAAAGATGTTAGCAAGCCCTTTGTTGGGATCCGAAAGTAGATGAGAGCGTGTGTTCTGCTTACTCTACGCTGGTGTAAAGGCTTAGGTTGTGCGATTGCTTTTCTTTCGTAACAGGAGAGGCAGTAATTTGGACACAGCCTCACTATGAAATCTCTCGGGTTGTACTTTATTTAAAAATGGGGTTTATGGGCTCTTCGATCTCTTACCATCGCCTTATTCAACCGTGATGTTTTGTGAGACCTGTCAGATGTATTTCTCTAATGATAACATTTGTTAGGGTTCACTAACTACAGCATACAGACAGATGTAAAATCCGCAAAGTTCCCGTTGACTCATCCTTCATGGAATGAGGGTAAAGAAGCATGAGGCAATAAAGTTTGGTGTTTTTCAGTGGGATTCATTTAAACGTGAATGGTTGGAGTGTTGTCACGTGGTACCCTTGCATTAGCTCATGTTGACTGTTCTTTCTGATAGATCAGTAGTAAGAAAAAAAGATGGATACACACCCTAAAGGAAGACTGCAGATTAGGAATAATGTTTAGTAACTTACCTCTGGGATGCAGGGGGGAAGGAGAGTATGCATTTCCTTATCAGCACACTTCTGAAAGCGAAATGGTCCAGAGATGCTTGGACCACTTCAGGGTTATAGAAACTTCCAGTTACACACTTTTAAGTGCTTCAATCTTTGCTGTTTACTCAGATGGCTCCTTTATGGTTTGTTTCATGGGGTTTGAACTCTACAGGCAATTTCTCATGAGCTGCCTTGACTTTACCCAGAGAATACAGGGAAGCTAGCACTCGGGAGGTAGAGGCATTCGGATCTCTGAGTAAAAGGCCAGCCTGGTCTACAGAGTTAGTTTCAGGACAGGTTCCAAAGCTACACAGAGAAACCCTGTCTCATAAAACAAAAACAAAAAACAAGGAAACCAAAGACAGCCTGTAGGGTTCGGGAGGACAGCCTGCCTTCTCACTAATTTGCTCTCTGAGGGCCCCTGTAACTGCTGAGCTCACTCTCCACGGAAGGCTTGTCTGTCTGCTTGTGTTCTGGTGTCATTGGACATTAATTTGGTGCCTTTGATCTATTGAGTTGATTTCCTAGGTAGTTTGTGTTTGACATCCAATATGGGGTGTGCCTGTTAAAGTTGGGGTTGAAGCTAGATGCCTCGAAATGAAGGGAAGGGATGGAATCATTGTGCTCATAGATGTGTTTTGTTTAAATTTTGAATGTAATTACAAATGTAATTTGTAAAATGCTAGTATGTTTTGCTTTAGTGGTGAAACTTTGAAAAGTTATGGAGAAAACATTTTAAAAAAAAAAAACATTTAAGCCATTTAATTCCTTTTAGGGAGGTTTTCCTGTATCTTCTAGGGTACCACTGACCTCTGCAGCCTTCCTTACCCCAGTAACTTCCTCTAAGTGGCAACCACACAGATGTTTCCAGACTTTTCCAGATGGTCTTTGAG